GAGCCAGAACACTTTTTTAACCAGTAATAATTTTAAATTTATATCCAATCAATAATCCATAACTTGTTTACTATTTCAATTATTTAAATAAAATTATTTATGTAAAAAAGAAACAAAATTTAAAAAAAAAGAAGTTTTTTTTCAAATGCAATTTATTCAATTAATCATGAAAAGAATATACATTTATGAAGAATTCCATAAGTATCACTTGTTGAACTTTCCAATTCAAAATATAATGACCAAATTCAGGAATTAAGAATTAAATTTCGCTGTTAACTATTCTCGATATTTATTACAGGAAAAATCTTAATTCAACATATCTCATTCATTTGCACCATAGGCATAAACCAAGAACTAGTTTAGAATCATTCTAGAATCATTTATTTACAAAATAATTAGTGTCATTTCTACGGTTACTATATTCCCAGCTATTTATGAACTTTTTTTTTATATTAAGTCAGGGTTCCGAGAGAAAAGAAGCTCGATCATTTAGGGTTCCATAGCCAAAAAGAATTAGAAACCGCAGCACTACTGGGTTAGGATTAGGTGATTTGATTTTTTCTAGAAATAAATCCTTTATAGAAAAAAAAGTAAAGCATCTGCGTCTTTTTCAAGAAGCATATAGTGTACACAACTAAACAATGATTAACTTGGTTAAATCGTTGAGGGGCAAGAATTTTTTTTTAAAAATAAAACATATAAATTATTTCAATTTGTCTCTAATAAAACAATTTATTTAAATGAATTTTTACATTATTGTGTTTACTTTGTGATTAGTGTTAATAACAGCAGTTCATAAAAGGGTTAAATCAGCCAACTTCTGGGTCGAGCAGTTTGACTTCAATCTAAGCTACCAATACATCCTAGAAAAGAAAAAGCCTAACCACGAGTTACCATGAACATGAAATTTGACCCATTAGTAGTCAAAACGTAGTGACATCTTTCGTATTTCCTCTCACTGCGCAGCGTTGTACCCCAAACGTAGTGACATCTACCTTATTTAACCTCCACTGCGCAGTTTATGTTTGTTACGTCGGACTACTCAACTCATCCGTGTTGAGGCCTTCTCTCTTTTAGGAGGTGCTCCTCTACGAGAAAAATAAGCAAAGTTGTTTCATGAGTTCTTAGTTACTAACAGTGTTGTTTTGAACCCGTAGCTGTTCGAAACGGAATCAATAAACATAATTACGTGTATTATATACGCTTGTTGTATATTTCTTAATATATAATAAACATAAATCGGAATATACGGTGTGACAATGATTACAGTTCCGCTTTGAAATGGTCATAAAAGGAAAACTCAAATGCTATTGAACTTGATAATAGTTTAAAAGAAGTTGTGGGAATTTATTTCTGGTAGATTGTTGTTGTTGTTGTTAATTTACGTCGCACTAGAGCTGCACAATGGGCTTTTTTTCTGGTAGGAAAAAAAATCCTCAAAGGAAAGTAGGTTCGAGTACCGATCAAATTATAGCGGGTTCAAGCACCAATAAAAATATAGCAGGTTCAAATATTGGTCAAATGTTAGTGGGTTCGAGTACGGATCAACTGACAGCGAGTTCTATTTCCTTCTCTGCTTTTCTCCTCCTCCGTTCCATCCCCTCCCAAGTGTAACAGTAAGGTAAGTTAGATTCTTAGATTAGACTTTTGCTTTACAATCTTGCATACAGTACAATCCCCACTCTAATAGGGAGTTTTAGAACTTTTTTTGGTAGAAAATGAATTCCTATGACCTCCTTTAACATAGTTTTTCAAAGCTCTGTCGCCAAGCAAAATAAAAAAGTCACAGTTTAGGCGCTTTACATTTGAAGCAAAGCAAGGATTTTAAACTAAATATATCATCTGGTCGTGAAGAATTATTTGGCCTTAGAAACGGTCAAATAACTTAAATATTTCGAAAGTTATTTAACTTTTTTAAATCTCCAATTTGGCGACATTTTTACTCCTAGATGAAAATTTTCAAAATCATTGCCTTATTGTTAGTTTTTGCAAATTTTTATGATCTTACATAAAGCAGTATTGGAGCAAGTTTTTAAATATTAAAGAATTAGACCACAAACGCTTTCTTCTTTTACAAAACTGTGACTTTCCTCCATATTGACGTTTTTAATAAACTAATAAAAAATATTAATAAGAATAATTTTAATAAAACTGAGTTCAAAAAGTGTTTTCATTCAAAAGCAAATCTTTCTAAATTTCAGTGCTGTTAACATAGTTGAATAAAGTATTTCCGAGAAAAACAATTTAAAATATGTCGGATATCGATTTTGATAAGGCTAAGGGTGACGAAAAGTAAAACTACTTAATCGCTTTAAAATATCTAATCACTTGAAAGTATGGCCTTAAACGAAGATTTTTTTTCTTCCTTTCAATCTCCTGTTATGAGTTAAAAAGCACGAGGCTTCATCTATCAAAGAAATTCATCATCTTATATTTATCATTTTGATCGATTCTAAAAATTTATTTTTGATTTGCATGAAGTTATTTGTAGTTGTAACGTGGCTTATTCTTTTTTATTGCATTTGGGAATGACCTACATGTGACTATGTATACAAAAATCTTCCGTTTTTATTTTTTTTATTTTCACAGAGTGCTCTAATTTGTATCATGGCTTCTTTTTTAAGACATTTATTACTTAATGGAATGACCTGTCTGTAGTTATGTAAAAAAGAAATTCCGGTTTGCAAAAAAAGTGATTTGCATAGAGTTATTATGATTCATAGCATGATTTATAACGCGACTTCTTCTTTAGTGTATTAAAGCGTAATTAATATGTAATTACATTTGAAAAATAAGTCCAGTGTTTCTCTATAATTTGGATTTGCAGAAAGTATTCTAAGTCGCAATATGGCTTCCTTTTTGAATATTGAGGAATTGGATTTGAACATATCTCCATGGAGGAGAGGTTAACCACAAGCCTACGTCACCTAAACAAACGAGAAACGTCATCTAAAGCAGCACCAATACCATGCATGCAATTGAATTTTTTTTAAGGCATATTTAAATGCAATTAAATTAAAATTGTTCAAAGAATCTAAAATATAAGCAATCAAAGTCACTCCCTTCCCCCTCAACCTAGCGGGCCGCTGTAAAATTATCAAACGTTGACCAGGCCACAGAGATAAAAGGATTGGGGAACACCGTGCATAACCCAACTTTTCTAATTAATAATATATGTATAAAAATAATTAGAATAATCATTGTATTCGATAACACAAAATTAACCTATTTGTATTAAAATAAAAAAATGAAAACCTGAAATATAATGTTTAATAAATAATAATTATAGTATTTTAATTATTATATGTAATTATTTAATATACAATAATTATAGTATTATAATTCTTATACATAATTATTTAATATATAATAATTATGGTATCATAATTATATATATAATTATTTAATATATAATAATTATAATACTTAATATTCAATCAAGTAACATTAATTTAATTGTTTCAAAAACGCTATTCTAAAAACTTGATTAAAAGTGTAAATAGTAGGTAAAAAAAATTATAAAAACAATTTCAGGGAATGGTGCAATAGCTTTAAACTTTTTCTAAACGTGGCATTTTCCGTCATAACGTTCCTTAGAATTGTTTCTAGTTCGGGTTTTTACAAGTATCGGAATTCCCGATTGATGGCAAACTGAGGAAAATTTCGAAATCGAGAACTTTTCCCCCAAAAATACTGTTAACCCTTTGACGCAGAATTTTTATCAAACATATTTTTCATACTTTTTACATTATTTTGTATTAGTTTAGGACAAAATAAGTAAAAAGTGCTATATTTAGTATTTTAATAACATATTGTTGCGTTAAATACTGCATGAAAAGCCAGTGTCTTTTCCAGCGTCAAAGGTAAAATTTTTCAAACACGGCTTACTTTTGAACAATAATTTTTCAAACTTTCATTCCTTAACAGTTATTTAGATCTACGAGAAAAATTTATTCATCGTAGAAATTTCTTCAATTTACAAAATCAATTAATGATAAATTTTCTAATACGAATGAAAAGAAAATTTCGAACAACTTGTTATGGAATTTATATTTTAATACAAATGTGATTCCGATAATCTAACTTTTTTTAATAACTATAAGACTGTTTTTTATAATAAAAAAAATACCAAAAATTTCTTTTTGCTTGTAATTTGAGCTTCAGAAGAAATATAGATAAAAGGGACACCAGTATCAAATGGTTAAGGAATTTGAGCAATATAACTTATCATTATATTAGTCCAAACGCTTTAATTACTTTGTCGCTGAAGTACCAGTGAAAATGATTTAGAAAAATATATTGGTTGAGAAAAACGTTGGTTAAATTTAGAGACATATTTAAACATGTATATAATCATTTACTTTTTACTTGCAAAATTTCGAGTTCATTTTTAATTTCTTTTAAATTACTTCGAAGAAAAAACAAATTTTTAGATCCAAATGAGGTATATTTTTCCTTGCGTGATGAACATTTAATGTTCTAACATTTAATCTTCAACACATGATGAAAAATAAACCTTATTTGGTAATGCATATCAAAGCTATGTAAAGTGTAAAATTCTAACTCTTTAAGCAGCTTTGATATGCTTAAACGAAAATAGCTATTTTGGTCTCTTCGTCTTATTAGACACCACTTTCTAAAAATAATTCTTCGAAACAATCTTTGGTAGGATAATTTATTTGTCAAATTAATTGGGTTTTTTTCAAATGCATTCTAAATTTCTTTTAAATTACTTCGAAGATAAAAACCAATTTTAAATCCAAATAAGGTATATTTTCCCTTGTGCGTGTTGAGCATTAAATGTTCTGACATTTAAAGTTCAACACACAAGAAAAAATATACGTTATTTGGTAACGTAAAACTGTTTAAAGAGTCAAGTCGAAGTTTTTTAAACAGTTTTGATATGCATAAACAAAAATAACTATTTAGGTCCCCACGTCTTATTAGACATCACTATTTAAAAATAATTCTTCTAAACTGTCTTTGGTCAGAAAATTTATTTGTACAATTAACTGTTTCAGGTGCATTCATGCTGTATGCCATAGCGCTTAAAGCAGATAGTCGTGGGCGCAAATCCCAGCCCCTTAGAAAAGAAAGTCTGTGATAGGTTGAAAGAATGCGCACCACCGCCCTAGTTCTGAAAATGCAAGGGCTTTTAAAACGCGGGGGCTGTTGAATAATTCCTCTTGGAATGAGTGCTTGTCCCAGCACACCTCGCTGTCAAACACCTCACAGGTATGCATTCATTTAATTTCATTCTGCTCTTTTTTTAATACTGATACTGTTTGTAAAATAAATGCATTTAATTTTTAAAGCATTTCTTTTTATTAAAAAAAATATTTAAAAAAGGAATAAAAAGTATTTGTTTAAAAGACAATATGGATAACGGATCAAAATTATTTGTTTCAAAAATATTGTAATATCGGGAAAAAACTATTTCTTTAAAAATTAATTTTAAATTATCGGCATAATTCATTTGTTTTAAGAACTATTTAGATAGGAGATAAAAATTACTTGTTTGAAAAAGCTATTTAAAAAAACGTGGAGGATAATTATTTGTTTTAAAAAATAAATTTAGATAGCGGCTAAAAATTGCTTGCCCAAAAACACTATGTACAATAACGAGTAAAAACTATTTGTTAAAGAAACTATTCAGATAACGAAAAAAAAATTATCTACTCAATAAAACTACTTAGAAAACAAAAAAAATTACCTATTTTACTGAACTATTTAGATAGCGGATAAAAATTTAGCTTAGGAAACTATTAGGTAGATGATAAAAATCATTTACTTAAAAAGCCATTTAAGTATATTAAGAGAAAGCTATTTGTTTAAAGAATACTATTTAAATGGTGGATAAAAATTAGTAACTGTGTCATAATAAGCATGAAATTTCTTTACTGAGTAATAAATGTCTTTAAAAATCAATTTTTAAAAGATTTTTAAAAATAAATTTTTAACAGATTTTTAAATACACTGATTATTATTAGTTTCCAATCAGTTTAATTTGCTTTAATCAGTGTTTAAAGATTGATTGTTATTATTTTAAAGAAGTTTATTGGACAAAAATGCAATTCATTTTACAATACTGCGCAACAGTTAATGCTGTTTTCTCAAATCAGAGTTCTTTAGAGTTTCTCAAATCAGATACTTGCAATTCAATGATTACTACAATTTTCATTCACTTTATTTTGACTTTAAACAGATGTAGCAGGAAAAAAATAGCTTAGAAAAATGTTGAGTCCGTTTCGTTTCAATCAAAAAAACTTTTTGTAGCGTTTACAGATTTTTATTCGGAAATTAAATGTTACTACCAAAATGTTAAGCTATTTTTTGATTTACATCATTTCATAAAGAAAAGTATTTTTGTTTTTAAAAAAAATTGGCATGTATCCTAAAATAATAAATATTCATCTAAAAAAATATTTCTTTTAAAAGTTCTTCAACAAAATCGTAATCTGTCAAAATAATTAAATCTTATCAAAATCTTATTTTAATCAAATCAAGAGTGCAAAATGAAATGTTTATCGAAGATTTTAAGCGAAATAAGGCAAAATATATAATCTAACAAAATTTATCTTGATAATTACTTCATGGTAATATAATAATAAACAATATTTTCAAAATATTCAGAAAGGAGGGATTGATAAAAATTAAAAAAATAAAAGCAAAGCCCCACAAATTTGTAAAAAGTTTGCGCGTATGTGCAAAATGCTTCTGTATATTTTCAGCTTTTTAGTGAAAATTGTGGAAACTTATATACTAATTTAGAATTATGAGTCACCATTTGAAAAAATGTCACCCCATTTTCCAAAGTCCTTCACTTTTTGAAACTTTTTTTTAAACATAAAATATTCAGAAAACTGGTTAGTTTATTCGTACGTTAAAGAAAGTTCTTTTGAATCCCGTAAATTACGGGTCTGGCTCGGTAGGACATTTCGCCCATGTCCGAGAGATAGTCCCATGTTCGATCCCCGCTTCCGAAGACTCCCCATGAGCAAAATGTTGAGTAGTGCAAGCTAAATATGCCAGGGCCACAAAGTCCTCGAAGTTCCCTTAACAAATCAATACTTCTGGTGGTACTGGATCGAAGATTGATCATGCTCTGGTTCAGATCAAGATGGTGTGTGAATATGTCCTCCTTGCAAAACGGAATGTGATGTATGTGTGTTGTTTCCGGATCATTCTCAGGGATGTTTCCCAGACCGTCGCCAATAGCCCAATGTGCAACTCTTGTGCGACGTAAATAAATGCACCTACGTACCTGTAAATTCCGATAAACAACTCAAATCTAGCAAAACTGCCTTTTAAGTTTCTGTCCGTAATTTTACCATGACAATATCTTACGCTGCTGAATAGTTACGTAAACATATTTTAAAGATACCATTTAATATTTCTTTTAATAAATGAATTATGTCTTTTATAATAACATTTAAAAAAGAAATGAGAATAGTAAATTAATATTTGCGTTGTTTTTTATGCTGAAAACGTGACTCCTGCTGCAAATATGATTCATTTAGGGGTTTAATAATAGTTCGAATGGGTGTTACAGCTCACTTTGCGAAGTTGTCTTTCAAGCACACATTGACGAACTGTGAGAAGAGCACGAAGTGATAATATCTAAACTTCTTGAAATCGACTACTACATGTTATAAAACAAGATGTTTTTAAATAAGTTCCTAAAACAAGGCGACAATGTGGAATATATTTAGTGATAGCATAAGATTGTGTCCAATCTTAATTGTATTACAAATAAACTGGAAATAAAACAATCCCTGATTACTGCCCCACCAAACCCCGGAACTGCTTTCTTAATTCCATTCGAATTACTTCATTTGATAATTCTGTACTTTAGCCTACCTTTGTATGCACGCTTTTTAAAACGAAATTCTAAAAATATGAATCGTAAGCAGTCAGTGAAATTTTTGATTTCTATATATTTTGGAAGATATTTCATCTCAAGCCGTAATACATGTAGTTCTTATTACCATAGTTAAGCCAAAGAACATACATAGGGGAAGAAGTCAATTTTGTTAAATTTGTGAAGTGCGACTTTTTTGAAATTTAATTTATCACGAACTCTTCAACCAATTTCACTCAAATTTTGAAAAAATTATATTCTTAAAAATGATGCAAAAAATTGTATACCTTACAATTCAAATTTTTTTCAATTAATATTAAATAAAACAATAAAAAAATGATAAACTTTTATTAAACGTAATTTTTTTCATAGAATTATCTTTGGATATATGAGTTTTATGAATTGTGAGAAAAAAATTTTAAAAATCACAATGAATAAATTTCGCACAAAAAATTTTCCAATCGCTTAGAAATTTTTGGAATATGACGAAATAGGCCAAAAGTAAAGTTAACATTAACGGGTCCAAATTTTATACCGCTCTCCTGATCAAACTATAGGAACCATATTTCCCAGATTGTAACTACCTTTTATTTTGGGGGTCAGAAATCCGAAAAAAGATACGTTTGTTCAGAAAAAGTACGTTTTTGTGTCTCTTTTCATAGTTTAAAATATAGTCTGCACGAATTAAATAGCATGTTTAAGGTCTCTCTTCCGAATCATTAAGAATGAGTGAGAATGAAAACGTGAAGATCCGATCATTTGATCAAAAGTAATTCAGGGTGGTCCATTTTTTATTTTACGTACAATACAAGCTAAGGACTCTGCTGATTTGGACCTCTGTTGATATGGACAGCCTAAAGACTTTGACATCAGGAATGGTGGAAAATGAACAGAATTCCAAATTGCCAAGTCTTTTGGACAATGCCCCAGGATTATTTCACTTCAAATGTCCAAAAGATAGAGTTGGTTAACAGGAATTTGAAGAGCAGAGACCAAATTTCGCACTACAGAGTAAAAAGCTCTCCAACTTCGGAATACTTTGAAATTATTGGTTGGTATTCTACCATTGTATATTCGCCCCCCATTGCTGCTAAATTTAAGTGAAAATGATATTAAATCATTAATTCTGACACTACGCGCATTGGAGAAGCACCAAGTCTACCCTGTAACTACCAGGCTAAGGAAAGGTGAATCTAATTAGTGACAACGGATTATATTAAAGTCTGCAGACATGAAACAAGCTATCAACACTTCCAAGCAACATTGAAATCAAGATCAATTACACCTCATTTTTCCAAAGAAAAAGAAAAGAATTAAACTTTAGATGTGTAGTTAAAAGGATGCCATACCACAAAGAGAAATATTTCATCGCTGATTCTGTTTCACCTCCATAACTAATTTAAAATTCAAAGTATGAAAAAAGTGAGTTCAGGCACACCTAGAGTTGGCTATAAAGTTTCAATTGCTGAAAAAAATTTCATAATATCAAAAGTAAAACAAAGTATTAGAGGATAACTTGGGATTACGTATTAGGAAGTTCTTTTCCAATAATTTGCTCGCATTCTGATAGTTTTAAATTTTTTTTTCAGCTATTAAAACTTCATAGGTTTGCCAACATACTTCTAGGTTTGCCTGAACTCGCTTTACTATACCTTAAATTTTAAATTAGTTGCGGAAATAAAGTAGAATTTGGGATGAAAAGCTTCTGTCATTTTACGGCGTCCTCTTAACTCTCTTCAAAATATCAAAATGCAAGCAAATTATTGGAAGAGAGCTTCCCATTGCATAATCCTAAGTTATCCTCTCATAATTTGCTTTCATTTTGATATTTAGAATATTTCTTTTCAGTATTTAAAACTTCATCTCCTGTTGAAAGTCTTTGCAAATAGTAATAGTTTGTAACTCTATTGAAAATATTTGTAAATATAATGAATATACCACACGCAAAAAATGGATGGTTGGTTTTGCCATAACTCTTTAAAATAATTTTAAAAAATCAAAACCTTTTACGCGTAACTATAAAACACGTTTTATAGAAAACAATTTCGCACGAAAAACAATTTGAATTAATATTTATAATTTGTCATTGATGTATATTAAGATGCTCGAAAAAACAATTTGCAACTGTGCACAAACGTTTTCAGAACTATGTAAGTTTCAACTGATAAAATTTAAATTTCGAGTAAAATTTTTAAAAAAGCTTTAATGTTTTTCTATCATTTACATTAATATTTTTTCTTTTAAAGTTTATTATTCAAAAACTATTCACCTGATTTCGCTTAAATTTGTTTTTTTGTCATTTAATGTTAGATAGCTTACAATCAGTTAAAAACTTAATTAGTTTAGAGAAAAAAAATTACCTCATAAATAATAA